TTGCTGGTACTCTTTATCTCTACTACAACATTCTTGCAGTCCAGCTATCACTGTGACTTTTGATCTTTTACCAAAAATACCAAGTTTTCAAAGGAATCAGGAAGTTGACCCAGTGGCCCATGCTATGTGAAGAAATCAAGCAAGTATTTTCCAAGTCTAAACTTAATGTCTATTTCTTTGCTTTCTACAGAGAAGACTGCATTCTTACCCATCTGTTTTAATTTTTTTTAGTCTTACATGTCTATGTGTGAAATCTTGAAAAAATTGACAGATTTAGCTGCCACTTTTAACTTATGCCAAAGGGATTTAGGTAGGTCTGCTAAAAATAACTGTCCATGACTTACTATAAGTAATTGTGGCTGCTATGAGTGAGGAATTGTCATCCTACATAATCTCTCGAAGACAAGCTTCAATTAACTCAATTAACAGTGAATGAAGCTGGTTTGTGGAACTCAACAGTAAAGAGGCTGGGAGGGTCAGCACATCAGTGAAGCACAATAATTGTTTCACTGTGCTTATTATCTAGTGACTACAGAAAGTGAGAACACTCAGCTGTTAAACAAGCAGTGATAAGCTGTCAGAACAATTTTGTGCCCTAGAGAAGATACAATTCTCTACAATACTGCTCCTGGAGGACAGGGGAATTTCAACCAGCCTAGGTGTCTCACACATAACAATCAAAGGACAAAGGGCAAAAATGAGAGGTTCCCACCCAAACTCTTGACTGTGATGTACCACCGGCTGCTCCATGTCCTTGTTCTGCACAGGTGGAAGATAGTCTCTACCTGATGTTTAGCTCAGGCTACAATTACTTGTGGTTTGATTTTATCAGTGTCCATAAGTACCAAAAAGTGGGTATCAAGAAGAAGGATCCAGGCTCTTCTTGGTGGTGCCAAGCAATAAGACAAGAGGCAATAGGCAGCAACTGATGCACAGAAGTTCCCCCTGAATATGAAGAACTTTTTTAGTGTGCAGGTGACCATGCACTGGAACAGACTGCCCAGTGAGGCTGTGGAGTCTCCTTCACTGAGGATATTCAGGAACCATCTGGACACAATCCTGTGCCCTGTGCTCTGGGGTGACCCTGCTTGAGCAGGGAGGTTGGACCCGATGACCCACTGTGCTCCCTTCCAGCCTGACCCTCTCTATGATCTCCAGATGAGCTGTGGCCCCCTGGGGAGAATGGCATTCCTCAGGCCAGGTGATTGTTGAATACTGGGTATTGATGCTATTCCACAACCAGGGCTCATTCTCAGTCCATCTGCACACAAACACCTGGAGAACATGGAAGCACCCAGCACCTTGCCTTTGTTGACAGTACCACCTTGAGCAGCCCCAGCCCTAACATACACCCTCTACACATCTAAGCCTTGCTCATTTCCTTTCCCCATTCAAGCATTCCTGTTCTCTGGTCATGATGAGTAAGCAGATTTCTTACAGAAAATGCCCAGTGTGTGAAACCCTTACTGAATTTACCAATTTCTTCAGATAAAATGCAAAGAATTACTAGTAACAGTGACATTCTAAATTGAGATTGTTAACATTAACGCAATGAAGATTATGTAAAATATAATATTTTACATAAAAAAATATATTCTCTTCCAGCTGAAGGCTGATACACATGTAGGCTTTTTGCCTGCATCACTTTTTAGAATCTTCTGCCCCAAAAGAAACAGACTTTGCATGTGTAGTCCTCAGCCCTGCAGCTACCTAGCACAGCGAATTTCTGATGGATCTTAAAAGACAAAAAGGCAATTTAACGTGCTAGGATAGAACAGAAATGAACACCCTGTGGCAGCCCTTTTTGAAATTTTTGCCATTTGTAGAGGCAAGATTTGTAAATCTCTTGTCTTCTTACAGAGCAGCAGAGTGATGCCTTTGGAAGGCTGTTTTTCTCCTCAGAAAGCAGAAGCAGATCTTTCTCAGGTTTTCTTGGATGAAAATGTACCCACCACAGATCTTAAGCAACCTAGAAATTTCTGCTTTTAACAACTGTCATTCTTGTACATAGTCCTCTGCAAGAACTATTGGTACAATAAATGCTGTAATAAAAAGTTTTTGGTATTATACTCTGAGATATGGCATGGATTGACTTGAGTAAACTCTCATACTTTTAAACATTTTCCCCTATTTTAATACGTCCCTAGAAAAAAAAAAGTCAAGTCTATAAACATCATCTTTTTTTTCTTCCATCTTACCAAATATCAATTAATGCAAAACCAGCACAGTTATCTAGGATCATAAGGGATGCAAAACTGAGTCTGATGACTATTTATATCTAATGGTTCTGCTCTCTTACACATATCCTCTGGTTAACTGCACATATTTCTGAATTCAGAGGTAGGTTTAAAAAAGACAATTGTCAGTATTAACTATGAGATCCTGCTAACAATAGTCAAAATTAAATGCTGAAGCAGAAAACAAAAAATATTCACAAATAAATGTTACACCTTAAGAAAGCCGAATTCATTAGAAGTTTATACTTTTGTTTTCTTCTTCTAGAGTTAAAAAATTAACAATTGTTTAAGTACACAATTTAAAAAACAGTGGCTCATGATTGACACATTTTCAGTCAATTTTCTAAATTACTTAAGGAAAATCAAACACAATTCCTACAGTTACAGCAAATCAACAGTCATACGAGGATATTTACAGTGCAATGTTCTAACTCATGCTCTCAGCTTTACAAAATGGCCATATAATTGATTTGAGTGTCACCCCCCCCCCCCCATGCAGACCAGTTTTAGGATTCCAGTCATATTCTGCTAAGAGGCTTAACAGGAGTAAATCAGGAGTTTAGATCTATGGCCTCTCCCAAACAGGGATGCAGATGGCAGTTTCTTCTTCCAAAGACAGCCCCATTTCCAAATCAGCCCAATCAACAGCAGCCTAATGAGGGGCAATGGGATCTACACCAGGATTTGTGTTATGTAAAAGATGTGCCACTAGAACAACAGTGGAAAAAATATGTTTGGCCAGAAGCAAAAAAATCAGCTCTTTTTCCTTCTGCTTCTGTGACTTAACAGAGATACACTCTTAACTAATTGCTTTGGCAGGCCAGCAGCCTGCCTGTGCTTAATGATACCATTAGGAATTCCACAAGCTTTCAGCTTCTAACACTAAGAACTTCCAACATGTGTTTTTTAAGAGTGAACCTCGGAATTCTTTTTCTTTTTAAAAGATTTTTCTTTCACTTCTTCCCACTGGCTGCTGCAACAGGCATAACGATACACAAATATGCAACATGCACTTTAAACTGGGCACTTGTCTGTCCCAGGAAAACTTAATACTTACAGAGCACCCCTGCCAACAAAATGGCATTCAGAACAACTCTGAGTTCACAAATAATAGAAAACTACCCCCTCAACATGACTGCTTCAGCCTTACCACATACATCCACCTGCACTTTCTCAAAGCTCAACGGCTCTTCATTTTACAGGTCTGAGTTGTGAACATGCACTGAAATTCCCTTTTCATACTTACAACAGAAAATGAAGAATCTAAACATCAGATAGGATCATATTTGTCCTTCTTCACAATTAATTTGCTTCCTCTTTTAGGCTAGGACAACACTTTTCAAATTTAGTAATCCATAAACAAGAAACAAGCAGACAAGCATTCGAAAGATGGCTGGCTTTTGTCCTCGAGGCTACTTTAAAAAAAAAATCATGTAACATTTAAAGAATATTACAATTTAAAGATAACATTGATGTAATTCAACTAGTTTTCTCCCTTATTTGTTTTATGCAGCAGAAAATATAATTGTCAGCTTCCTACAAACAGCTGACATTTTGGTTATATTGGAGATGGACTGGGGGACAACCAGAGATTTAAATGTAGAACCAGTAAGGATGTTAACATGCTCAAACGGCAGCTTCCCAAACATCTGCTTAACAGCCTAACTGTCTACATAAAGGGATTAACTGAGCCAGAGAGGAGCTGTGCATGAGCCCTACAGTACTGGCCTGCACAGCAGCTTGAACAGGGCAGGCTCAACATCAGATCATTCCCTAAGGCTTTTCTTCCCCTCCAATGCCCATGAAGTCTCTGACACAGTGAACATCCAGTTCTTTCAGTCAAACTGGAAATTCTACTGTTATGTTAGCAAATGCATCACTACTCTACAGCCTCAGTGTTATGGTGTGAGGGGCGGGGCTCCATGTGTGAGAACAGGGCTCTATGTGTGAGGGGCAGGGCTCCATGTGTGAGGGGCAGGGCTCCATGTGTGAGGGGCAGGGCTCCAGGCGGTGAGGGGCAGGGCTCCATGTGTGAGGGGCAGGGCTCCATGTATTGCTCACAGGATAAAAAATTGACAGTGCATAGTGTCATGCCGAGGTCACAAACTAAAGCCCACAGCCTTACACATCATTACCTGGCATCTCCACCTCTACACCTGACTATTTAATCAGCTCACAGTCTTTCTGATATTGCTCCAATCTCAAGAGACAGCAGCAATCTTCAGGAAACAACTGCAAGGAAAGAAACACTGCTAAAAACTACCTCTGGACATAGACAGGGCAAGATGATTAGGACCAAATGAGGGAAGCAGAGCCCTGCCATTTGCACTCCATGATCACTTGTAAAGGCAGCTCTGTCTGTAAAGACAAATACACTTTGTGCTTGGCATGACTGTTTTTGTGGTTCTTTATAGGCACGAAATGTATCTAACATGTGATGCAAACTCTTGTACACAAATTTGGATTCCAATATTTTGGTTGACACAAAATTTTAGGAGGTGTGATATGCAGTAGTGCTGTGAAGTCTGTTATGGATCAGTTTCTTCTACCACAGCATCCAGGAAAACTAAAGATCTAAAGATGTGGCTACTACAGGTATGCCAGAAGATTACGTAATCTGAAATGACTGGCACTTCACAGCGTCAAAGAACCTCCTGCACCTTAAAAAGCACAAAAAATATTGCAAGGAAGAAGAAAAAGTTATGCTGGCAACTGTGAACATGGAAAAAAAATCTGCATCTCAAAGTGAAAAAGCATCTTCTGATCAAAGTCTCCTTCATTCCCAGACCATCTTGTACACAGGGTCTCCAACTTGAATTGTTCCAGTTTTGTCAACAGCAAAGTATTTCCCAAAGAGAGGGCTGGTTTTGTAAATGTGCTTCTCAGATGGGTCACATAAACGGTAACTGCAAAGAGAAAGCCCTTCTTTAGAATAAGTGCTAACAAAAACTACACATCAAAATATGTGTGATGAAAGAGAGGACATGCAAATAATGATGCCTTGCCTTGGTCATCATATTAGGCTAAAAAGACCCAAGCAGGTCAAATGGAGGGGAAAAAGCCTGACTGTATTCACACCTTCATGTTTAATATATACAAAAATATTTTTATAAAGAAAAGTCAAAGAAGCAAAGTTAGACCTTTAGATACCTTAAATAACTGCTACCCCAAGCTTTCACTGTAGCAGATATAACAGATATAAGGAATATGGAGTTTGCAAGAAAGAAGGGAACATCCTGAATTTTCTTACCACACAGAATTTCAAGAAGTAGACTGGAAGCCAATATACACAGACCTTCACACTGCATTATTATGTCCTACACACACTTCAAACCACCTTTAAAACACTAGTCTCACATTTGTCAGGGTCTAGCCCAAATCCTCTCCCACAGTCTAAGAAACAGTAGTATTTTTATAACCTTTTCAATGTTTCCAAGGGCTCCTTCCTGTCAATGACCCCAGTGTCTGGATTAACAGTTGTTAAAATACACCTGCAATGACAAACAGTTCCAAATCAGTCAGGGTTTCTTATCATAAACCTCTTTGTTCCTATGTAAAATAAAGGTCTCCAATGTTTACCTGCCACAACACACGGTCCCTTTCATTTCCACATCACCAATAAGGATATCCTCCCAGGTATCCTGAGGGAAGTAAACATTAGGCACATATTAGACATAAGCACATGCAATTACTTTTCCAGAAGTGGCACAGTCATTCACAAAAAGGTGCACCATTCCAGATCACACCTTTACTAGCACCTTCAAAATATGCACAGTTACACTACAGTACTATGAAGAAAACCCTACTGTCATTGCATTTATCCAATTCAGGACACACTAATAATTCTATCTGAAAAGGGAGACACACAAGTAACAAATCCTGTTCTCCAACATATGCTTGTCTGAAGCACCGAGCCTAAAGCAATTTGTTCTTGCTGTTCTTGCTGTATGGGTGATAATCTGGTCTGTGGCCTCTGGTAAATCTACAGTTTTGCAGAAAGGAAATTTTCAGGGGAAGTAAGTTTTTGCTCGTCATCTACACAAGCATTCTATTGCAAATCCTCCTGGGAGATAAAAATCTATTCTGGCTTTAGGAGCCTTTTCAGTTTGAGAAATAATCATTCATAGATCTGTGACCTCCATCAATGTTTCACATGCACTGATGTGAGCTGAAGCTTTATCTCTCTGGAACTCAGTTGTAAAAATCACATAGCAGCTTTCCTCACCCTTGTTGGCATCAACACAGAAAGCAACTGAGTTACAGAGAAACAAAAGCAAGCCTTCAAAAAGACATTCAAGACGGTTATTTTACCTCCTCAAAAGCACTGCAGTCTGTTACAAAAATATTTGGCCTGAAGTTCTGTATCTTAGCTTTCTTTTCCAGCCTGGTATTTAGATCATCCATCGAAGCTTCGGAGATGATCAACACTGGACTGCAGTCAGGATACGCGACCTACAGAAACAAACACCACCAAATCCTAAGGTTGCTGTACGAGCATGGGAGGAAAGTCAGTGCACAGCAAAAGACAGATATTGGAACCAGTGGTCTTTTAGGCTGCTCTGTTCAAGTTTTGATTTTCCTGGAAGTAGGTTAACAAGGAAAACAACAGGCTCTTCCCTATTTCAGTCACCATGGCAATTTTTGTGTGCTAAAACTGCCTTATCACAACACCAGAGGGAGTTCTACATCCAGAACAGCCCATACTCAATTACAGCTGTCCATTAATCAGTCTAGGATGCCTGGGCAGTGGGAGGGCCATATAAGCAAATAAGGTAAATGAACAGTATTTAAAAACCTCTAAGCCTCCAAGAAGTGGAGTTCCACAGAGGTGGGGGCATTAAAAAAAAGACATTTTGGTAACAATTTTACTATATAACCCTCCTGCCTTTCTCTTACATTAGTCTTACTCCATTTTTGTAAGTGCCTTTCTACCACAAGATGGTGAGCATTGAAATAACTATCCAAAAATTCTGCCTTTTCTTTCTTGCTATGATTCCAGAACATCAGCCCTCCTAATCTGATGTCCCTATTGCTGAAACATTGTGTCTGTATTGCTCTCAGTGCCCTTACATAACAAATACATATCTATAGAGGTCTATAATTGAATATACCTTCTTCTCTTTGAGCAGCAACAAGCATGCCCTACAAATAATAGCATCGCTAAAGCAAGGTACTCACAATTTTAATTTGTTTAAAAACCTTACATTTGATACAATTCAAAGTATCTTCACCTGAGAGAATTGTTCAGAAAAAAAGAAGGGCAGCAGTGGCTAAAATGATATAAGGATGTCTGAGCACAGCATCTCCTTTCCATACTTTTCCATGACATTTCTTTAATAACATACCTTCAAGCCTCTTCCACAGAAAGAGGCAAAACCTCTGAAACTTCCTTTTAATTTTAATTCCTAGGGCCACAACTGTAACCAGCCTGTTTAAACATCATTCCTTTGAACAAAATACAAAGTAACACAACTTGTATCAGTATACTCCCAGACTTAACAAGAGATAGGGAGTGTAATCTTTCTATGCAACACAGATTGCACCATCAAAACATCATTAAAGATGTAACTTTTTTCTATTCACTGAGACACAAAAGAGTATTGTATTCTGCAATGTAATAGTTCCTCTTCAAGGATCAGTTTCAGACTCTTTAGCTGTGAATGGTCAATAGTTTAAAACCAATTTGAAGTAAAAATTAAGGAAGTCACCTCTTCACAGAACAGAATACTCACATGGTTTTATTACACAACTACACACCTTGCTAAACTGGGTTCAATCACCAAAGACAAAATGGGCAGTTTCTGGTGGGTGGGTGGAAATGGTTAAAAGGACATACTTCTGAGAAAAAGTGTTTATTTACCTCATCTGTGTTTCGGAAAAGAGCTATTGTGTCCTTTGACTTTCTTGGCACCATGGAGGGCTCAAAGTGCACCAGTCGACAGGGCTCGGAGTTCAGGAAGGTGGTGAGCCATTGAGCAACTTCATCACCACAGTCTCTGCCTTGGATATCCTGTCCAAACACCCTGGAGAGTCACAACAAATCAGCAAGTTAGCTGGAAACATCACGGTTCAGTGAAGCTTCTTATTCAAAGGTAAAAACCATGTTTTAATAGTGGTAGCAATATATAGAAAATGAATAATTCCCAAAGGGCAACCTCCTTGTGGCCACTGTGTTTTGAAAGCTAAAGAACATACACATGACCAGACAATACCAGCTGGTGAAAGAGTGAGCTCTGAAACAGTGTTAATGTGCCCAGAGCTGACTGCCCCATCAGTGACAGTAACCTACCTGCTCCCCCTACTTTGAGGGAAAAGGGGCCTGCTCTTGCATTTGCACGAGACTGCTGCACCAAATGATTTCTACTGAGAAATAACTAAGAGGTAACTAATTTCAGAAAATGAACGATAGTTTGAAATTATGTGATTACTTTCCACAACTGATACGTACACATGTTATTAATTAAGTGTTCCTAACTGTTAAGGAAACAAACAAATTCCTTCAGATTTTAGTGCTGTCAAACTTTAGCCAGAGATGAGTGAGACTCTTCAGCTCAGACTTCACATACAAAACAGCTCAGTATCTTAAAGGAGGTTAAAGATTTCTACTGGAAACAAAGTCCATGGGGGTCAAAAACCCACGGCCAGTAAAATACAAACAAGTTTATGCAAGGAACATTTTCCTAGCAAAAACCTGAAAAGAAAAGCACATGAGAAAGACAGCATTGAGAGAGAGGGAAGGGGGAAAGAAAAATCCTCCTTCAGTACCTGCAGTTGTGGACGGGATTTTTCTTGGAGAGCTTTACAGGCACGCTTATCTTCTCCATGTCCCCGGCCTCCAAGACCAAGTGCCCGTTTTCACAGGTGGCAGAGATAAGGACGAGTCGCGGCTCCTGGCGAGCTGTCACCATGTGCCCGTCCTCCCTGATCACGAGCCAGAACCTGCGGGGGACGGGGCACAAAGGCGCCCAACAGCGTTAATGCCGGGCAGGTGCTCCTTCCCAGGCCCTCAGGGAAACAAACACCCGACAGCCGCCGAGCCACGCGAGGCTCCAGGCCCCGGCCGGCCTACCTATCCCGCAGCTCCCCGCTGCGCAGCCCCATCGGCGTCACCTGCGCCCGCCGCACTGACACCCCCCGGCACGACTTCACCGGGTACACGAAGAGCCGGAGCACCGTCCCGACCCGCTGCAGGCGGCGGCGGCGGCGCGGGCCGGCCCAGCGCCAGGCCCCGAGCAGGGTGCCCAGGGCCAGCAGCGCCGCCGCCCCCCAGAGCCAGCCCTGCCGCGCCGGGCCTGCCGCGCTCCACAGGCCGCTCATGGCGACTGGGCCCCGCTGCGCGCGCGGAGCGGCCGTGGGCGGGAGCGGCACAGCCCAGCCCCCTCACACCGCCCCTCACGCCGCCCCGGCCGGCCTTCGGGGCCTGCCACCCGCCCCGGCGCTGCTGCAGGCCAGGCGCAGCGCAGAGCTGCGACCTTCGGTGCGAGAAAGGGGGCGGTGCAGTGGGAAAATACACGGCTGAGCGTCCGGCTTGGCAAAGTACCGGGGAATGATGTGTTACGTCTGATACGCGGGCTTTTAATGAAAGCAGCGCTACAGGAAGCGTGGTCTGTGTGGGAATGCACAAGTGCGTCAAATTCGCGTTGGGTTTGTCTCGGGGAAGAGGGGAACAGGTGGATGGAGGCGTGGAGGGCAGCAAATGGGGCGTCCAGTGCTGTTCGGCCGCCTTGGGACATCTGCACACCCCAGCTGCCTGGTACCAAACTCCTGAGAGCCCTTCCGAGAGCTTCCTGCTTGCTGGCAGGGTCTCAGGGAAGTTGCTTTGTGGGATACCCAGCTGCAAGGCAAATATGACATCAAATACGGGCTGGAGCGACAAATGGCACTGTTGCCACAGGTTTGTTCTCACAGGCAAAGCAAGAGCTTTGGGATCTGATGGCCAAACTCACAAACTGAAATTTTTATGATAAGTCTGCTGAGAGCCACGTCCCAGAATACAAAAGATGGGGAAGCTCAGTGTTGGGCATTTCTGGGGAGATTCAGACAGCCCAGCCACAATGGAAATACTCCATCAGCAGCATCCTGGTGGAGAGGGATGTTGAAGATGAGGCTGTTGTGAACCTTTTTGATAATGGGTACGTGTGAGCAATCAAGCCAGGAGAGTTCCTCACATTGACCTTAAGAATCACTTGATCATGACCAGGATCAGAAAATGTTCCTGTGAGTGGGAATCACCACAGATTGTAAGAAGTATGTTGGGATTTGTGAAAATCTGCTGGTGGATGAAGACAATGTGATGGATGTCAGAAGCAAAGGCAGTGACAGCAGATCTCTCCCTATTGGTGTGACCCCCAAAATCTGATTTTCCTCATGGGCAAGAAGGGAGTCCTTTATTAAAAGGACCAGGATATGACTGTGGGCAGGAAATTATGACACAAATAGTGCCAATAGACAGACAGCTGCCTGAGCACAGAGAAGGGAATTAAACCTGGTTTTGTTGCAGATGACTTTGCCTGCTTCTTTCAGATGAGGGGTGCTGGGCAGGCAGCAGTGCTGGGACACCAACAGTCCACCTGAGTAGGGGTGGTACAGCAGAGAGTAATGTGTACATTCCTCATCAGGATGCTCTGAATTACTTTTGTGGTCTCCCAGCCATTTTGGGTAGTTGTACCTTGTTATTCACGTGTTACTAATTGATGTTGGGATAAAGGTACCTGGTCACATTAGCTTTGTGAAAAGACAAGAAGGAGGGACAAAGACAAAAAGACAAGAGAGCCTTTGCCCTCTTGTTCACCACTTTGCTGTTCAAACCATGCCCTGATTCCAGTCATAGGTTTTGGGACCTTTCTCCTTCTACAAGTACACCACAACATTAAAGATAAACAGAACTTGTGTTTATTTTGAATTTGCCCCCTGAACAGGCTCAGTTCTGGAAATTAAGTATTGATCAGCAGAGCCTTGTGCTGCTGTTGGATTGTGTGGGGGATGTGCAGAGACAGCCTGCTGCCTGCTCACCTTCCATGTCACTTGAAAGCCCATCTTATGCTACTTTACTGGGACACCCTGTCCTCCACATGCCTGGGATCCCCACATTGCTCCAGGTAAATCATAGGTGTTAAACTGCTTGGTCTGGTAAAACCAGACCTGCCCCACCATCTTCAAATCATTGACCCACTGAGTCAAAAATAATTACTTGTGATTGCTTTTCTGACTCCTCCACAGACACAGGAGGGGAACCAACCCTGCTAAACAGGCTGAGAGCCCTTGCACTCTTTGGTAACCGTTAATCTTCTGATTTGACATGAAGTCTATATTTTGTTGAATTTAATTGAATTCACACAGAGGTCTTTAATCTGCACCTGCACCCACATGAGCAGAAAAATGCTATAAGGGGAACTAGGCATCTTATGTGTTAGCAAATGTTCAACAAAACTGCAGCAACTGTCTAATGTCTGATAAGCAGTGCTTGCAAGCAGGAACCAAAACATACTAACAAAATACTAAAGAGAGAAAAACAAAAACTGGTTTTAGAATTTAACTAGGAAAGCAATGCATCACATGAAATAAATGAAAAAAACAAACAGACTACTATTTATGCTGGCCACTCCTGACAAACATTAATGCTTATTTTCACAAACTTAAGGCAAAAATGAAGAACTAACTCCTGTGGTTTCTTTAGCACAGTATTCTCCACTGCGCAAACTACAAAGTGCAGAATGATTTTGCTCTCTGAGCTTCTGTGTGTGAAGCATCAAAATAACAGAATTTAACAGAATTTTGAGAGAATTTTTCTGAAAAAAAATTGGGTGATTTACTGCTTGCTTGCTTTGTCTGGGTGCCAGAGAAAATAGGCCTGAAGCATGTGTATACTCTACCAGCATGAGAATTTGGAGAAGTACAGACCTTGTTTGGAGAAGTACAGACCTTGATGGTTGTGAGAAGCTACAGCTCTTTCCTAGCTGCACATTATGGGCAGTACAGCAATGTAAATAAGCAGTTCTTTTAGTTCAAAGGACTTGTTAACTGAATTCAGAAATAACTCACTTTGGCTAACATTCCAGTGTTAATTTAGAGAAAAAATATTTCAAAATCCAAGAAGGACCTTAAGCTTTCCCTAGATCTACTGACCTAAGGAGCCTAAAAAGATTTTATTTAGACCAGCCCTTCTGTTACATTCAGCCCTAACTCTTCTTGAAGAGTATGGTGAGAAGGAGCTTAAGGAAATAACAGAAGGCAGCAGCATCTGTATAATCTCTCTTCTGCTTTGAAACGCAGATATAAAATCAGAAATTGCTGTGGACAGCACAGTTGTGGCTAAATGTTTCAGGTCTGAGTCTGCAGGCTTTGAGGAAAGCCCTCTTCCCACATGCACCAGGTATCTCCCAAACAGTCTGGCCAGCAGGTTTGTTTCATCCTCCATCCCAGGCACACTGGTTCTTACCTAGGAGCCATCAGCTCCTTGCCCTGTTAAGCAGTGTGAATAGAGCCACTCAGACAAAATAGGTACTGGTTTTGTTGCAATCCAAGCAGAGCCTCTTGCGTGACAGAGCTGTGTTTGTTGTAGCCAGAGCAGGCACACTATTCCTGCCCTTAAAAGCAAATGACCATGTTTTCAATTGCTGATATCATCAGCAATTGAAGTTCAGGACAGTTGTGTTGAAATTCTCTGCACCAGGATCTTGTTTCAGGTTTCCTTAAAATGTGTCTGATCATATGAAAAATTCACAGTGTCAATCTTGCAGCAAACTGGGGCTGGGCTCCCTCAGTCATGAAAGTGATGATGCTGACATATCTTTTAAAAGCATGGTGTTAACTCAATAGCACAGGACAAATATTCAGGTAGAAAAAAATTTTATGGAGAATGTAAAACGCATATCTGCCTTCAGATGTAGTGGGCAATTCGAGATAATTCTAGAGACAAACCTAGACACTCTTGTAGCAGCAGCTCAATCAGAGGCCTAAGATAAATGGTGAAGAAAGAGTGGAACAATTTTATTTATTTCCACTACAAAAAAGACCAGCAGCTGTGGATCTTCTAGGTCTTCATTGTGTACACAGTGCTGTACTTTGCAAAAGGTATATATTACCACATTGAGGGGAGAGGTTTGGATGGACGTTATGGAAAAAACAGTGACAAAGACAGCAAAATGCTGGTCTCAATTAGGTGTCATTGTGTTAGGATAGAGCTAAATGTAGCCTGGGCTTGTCTCAGTAAAGGAATTAAATGCACACATCAGGGCTATGGCAATTGTTTTTTCAGTGACTCTGATAATTCAGCAAAAGGCAGGGATGAGGGGATAATGTCGCAAAGTACGCTGATTTCAACACAATATGATAAAAATCACATTATACTCACACATACACAAATTATATCCTTTATATCCTTTTTCCAAAGTTAGAACAGACAATAATTTCAAAAATACCTTCACAGAGAGGAGGGGAGGATAAAAGCATTGCTGTTTCCTCTTAAAATCTTGCAGGATATCAGAGTTCAGTGAATCTTGCACTAGAAATGAGCTCATTGAAATTCATGTGTGGAAAAATCTCAGGTGAGTAATTGGTGATGGTAGAGTTATAAGTAGAGTCATTAATAATAGATGCCTTTTAATGGAGCCAGAGCAAAGAAATAAAAGGATCTCTCATTTTGATGAGGTTTTTCCTCTACGGAGAATTATTTATACCTAAAACCCAGGTGGGTTGATTGGCTACTTTGGTAGCTATCAGCTGTAACTCCAGACATATAGGAAGATGAATTGAAAATTCTCTTTTTCTTCCAGTCAAAAGCCAAACTACAGTCTCTCTAAATGCATCAGGACAGCACAGAGATTGTTTTTCCTGGCAAATGTTTGGCCCAGTATTAACAGAGGCTGTTGACATTATGAGTTCTCCCAGTGTTCTGTAAATTCTATTTTCCATCTGAATATAACATCCATCAGCAGCTACAGGTGTCTGGGGAGTCAGGGTAGAGCTGTGTGTCACCTGGGAGCGCAGGTAAGGACCAAAGGAGAGAATTTGAGGGGAGCAGGGCATTTGTTCTGCAGCACAAACATTAACACTTCTGCAGCTCTGGTTTATCAGCCATCGCGGGGCAGGATGGGATTCACCAAGGACAGGAAAGTCCCCACCCTAATTCAGGCACAACTGAAAAAACAATCTGATGCTAGTTCAGTGTCCCAGGAAAGGAAGGAGCAAGGAGTCCTTTACAGGAAGCAGAAACAGGAATACAGAAAGCATGAGGAGGCAACTACTTGTGGTTTGCTGGAGCTGGGGTCCAAGGCACTCCTGGGGGTAGGGGAATGTCTCATTCCAGTCTCCCAACC